TCTAAATGCAGGCCCTGCAAACCTCTCTGTCACATGTGCTTAGCGCCATTTAAAACACAGGCTCATACATTACTAATGAGGAAACAAAAAACAGAAGCAAAGCCAAAAACATACAGTATTCCTTGCTGCTTCCCTGCTGAGTCCCCTCCTGCCCCGGGCCCGACAACTTCAACCTCCCTCATGTCTGAAGCTTCTGGTAGTAAAAGTAGTAAACACTGGCACTTCTCTAGTTGGTAAAGCTGCAGCACTTGAGTCAGCTGTAAGTGCTGCTAGCTGCTGAATCTCTGTGCCCATCGGCAATCAAGGTACAGTATATCACAGTCTGATAAAACATTTTTTTTTTTTTTTTTTTATTTAACCTTTATTTAACCAGGTTGGTCCCATTGAGATTTAAAAACCTTTTTCAGGGGAGACCTGGCCAAGACAGGCAGCAGCAAAAACACAAAGTTACGGTGAAGCATGTGTTAGCATTGAATGAGTTCCAGGTAAGACTTCCTTTTCCATGCGGCATTTATGCCTGTAATGTGAACACAAGTAATTTCTTGTTCCATTACTGTATATCCCCCGGACTAGCGCCCGTTCATCTAATGAGTTTTTAAGATTAGAATATACCTTTATATTTCCCTCTGGCTCATTAATGTAGTATGAGTCAAAAACAAGAAAATGATTTTCTTGTGATTTACTCACAAGTAACAGGAATACATTTTGTCAAAATAACATCATGTTAAAGAGTCAAGCATTGGCAGCTCCGTCCCCAAGAGGAGATGAAAAACAACCTGTTGAATGTTTGTTTGTTGAATGGAGGTTGAAAAAATAATTTCTGATGCATTTCAGGTAGTCGGGGAATCTAAACACTGATTGGCTTTTGGGACATGGTGTCAAGTAGGTTTGGAGCTCAAGATGAAATGATTAATCTACAATAGATTTTTACTGCACATTTATTGCATAGTCTGTTTTAAGAGCCAAATTAATCATTGTTAGGATACTATTGATGGGAGCCAGTTTGTCATTGGGGCCGTTCTTTTTTGTAGTCCACATATACTGTCTCCTGCACACACCAAAGGATGCTGATAAGTAATTGGTCAATACAGCTTTGACTGCCAATGTACTGCAAAAGGAAACCAGAGCATTACCCATGTCGGAGACCAGGGTGCAGATTCTACATTTTTATAGAATCTGTAAAAAGGGGGTTATTAGCGGCCCTGCTAACAGTTCTTTGTAACCAGCTTTGCTTAGCAGCAGCAGTTAGCTTAGCAAAGCAATCTGTAAATCTTAAAGAGGACATATTATACCCATTTCCACCTTTTTAAAACAGTCCCCTGTGGTTTAAATGAAACATCTGTGCTGTGCTTTATAACATGAATCAAGCACCAGAGGAGGTTTGTGACCCTGTATAAACCAGCTCTCTCAGAACAATGATATTTTCATTTCCCATGACATCATATGTGAAAGAATGATGACATTTGAGGAAAGCTTTACAAGTGTGTATAACAACCAACAGAAGCATCTAACTTACGTTCCCTTCTTGCATTTGCAACATATAAGGCGTCAAACAAACTATGTGTTGTTAGCATCTCTGATAAAGGAGTAAACATTCTTTCCTTTCCACGTAATTATATAACATATAAGCAAACATCTTTTCAGATGAGGGCCTGCTGAGTCAGTATTGCATATCAATGAACATTATATAATCACAGTTCTTTCAATCTCTTACTGCCCCAAAAATCTGTTGAAAGGCATTCAGTAGATTTGTAATCTCGTAGTTAAATAATTTGGTATTCTAGGGATTTGTTCCAGAATGTATTCATCTGTGATGGTTTGGATCTCCTTGTATTCTTTCCTTTTGACTGTATGAATATGTGACATAAACTTGGACACCATTGGGTCATTCCTGATACAGGGGCCTTTCCTCAAAGGATGGGTGAACAACCTCAATGGTATGATTTGAAGCTTTGAGTTGCCAACTTGAGCCTAATATCTTACGTGAACAAAAAGAAGCAAACTGAGGAATGGCAGAAACTGCATGTAGTTTAAACATGACAGCTTCTCAATATAATTTGTAATGTAATGTTACAAAATAGATGATTTCTACAAAAGTTTATAAAAAGTCATCAACACAAGGCTGAGTCAGCACAGAGCAGTCACAACATGAGCTGGACGGATGTAGTTGGGGGACTATAAACTTAACATGCAGTGTTCATCATCTCCTCAGCTGAGCATCTCCAGACATTTCTTTGTCATGATCTGGCCAATCACTGCCCACTGTCTGTATGCATGCCCTAATAAATATAGATGCTGAGCAGCACAAACACGTCCTTGTTCTTTTATTACTGCACAGTGACGTGCTCTGGTCCACATCTCCCAATCAGCCATCATCTCCCACTGATAGCACACTCTGGAAACCATCACCATGGGAACTGTTGCACATGTTATGGGTGGTCGCCTTGGAAACCTGGCCGAATAATGGCTCCTCTAACTCTCATGCACTGCCGTGGCTCTCTCTCGGCCTGACTCACTTGTTCCGCGCCTCGTTCCTGCGATGTGAAAATAGCCGGGCGCTCTCAGACATTGTGTTTCGATGTAGAGAGGAGAGGATGTAAAAGGGCAAACTGTGTACTTATGGTGATTATCCAGATGACAGCTCCCTTTAAAACTGCTTCCCCAGGCTCATTTTACTCTCTGTAATCCAGATGTAACAGTGGGTTCAGGATGGGGGGGGGGGGGGGGATGTGGAGGTGGACTTTTCTGTACTTTACATGATTGTATTACACATGCGACTCAGCCCAGAGGGTCCTGGAAAAGCTTCACGGTGGGTATGTAAGAATAAAGGGTGGCTGAACAAAGACCATTTCATTGTTTAAGCTTCTAATTAGTACTCAGATGGAGTCTGTTGCTTTAGATGTGTTTTGTACTTAGAAAGAAAGAGACCCAATTACTTTTTTTTTTTTTTAACTTCTCTCTGTGTTAAGATGTTTCAAATTGCATTAGCATCAATCTTAGCTAATGTATGCATCATGCTGATGAAATTATGTTACTGAAAATGTTCCAAGTCTTGTTCTCTTCATTATGAAAGTCAAGTTTTTTCAACATCACCTCATAGCGGAAAAAAAAAAAAAACCTTTAGAATCCATTCAGAAAAACTACAAAGATTTTGCATCAACCCAATGAAGGTCAACTTTGTGTCAACACATGGAGATGAAGAGTTGCAAATATACCTCATTCTAACGGCCCTGAGGCCTCCAATGAAGCCAGAAAAAGGCTGCTTAGTTTGAAAAGCAGCCCAGAAGGTTGTAGGTCAATGCTTGAATTATCAACATATAAAAGAAGTGGACTTAGCTAGCATTACATCGCCCACTGGTTAGTGGATACACATTTTAAAGCATCACTGTTAGCTTTTTGGCTGCCGCCCATCCTGGTTTGTTTGACCCAAAACTGATCATGTTTAGCTAATGCTTTAGCGCCAATTTGTCAATCCAGATTGAGCCACATCCTGTATTTAAGTGAATGAACACCATGCTGTACTGAAGAATTCAAACATGCAATTAAGACCAGGATCCAATTAGGAAAATGTTTACAGAGGTAATAAATAAAGTGCCAATTAAGCTTGTATTCTTTTAAAAATATAATCTGAACAATTTTGGCTGCCAGTGGAATTGCCCCCTGCTGTCCATCATGTTTAAACAACTTAAGCATTGGGTTCCACTTTGATACCATGATGTTATCAACTTTTCAAACAATTAAAGGTTATCACTAAAAGTAATGATGTCTTTTTTTAAAAATTTACCAGAGATCCTATATGAAGTTGAGTCAACAAACTATAAATTGTATCAACTCATTTATTGAAGTTCAATAAACTTGACACTTAATGTTGAGTAAACTTAACTCAGTCAAAGGAAAAAGATGACTTGACCGAGTTATGTTGGGTCAACAAATATATTTTTTTGCAGTGAACAAGCATTGTCTTAAAAACCAAATAAAAGTGTTGCTGTTAGAGTGCTGAAATAACGTAGGTTCATTTATGACTTTGAGCTAACAAACTCCACTCACTGTCATGAGGTTATAGAGCTTACTTTCAATATTCTTAGAACTTCTTGTTCATTCTCGAAATGTAAATTGAGTTGAATTTTGTGTTTATTTGGGCAGCGTCCACATTGACCAAACTTCTGAATCTTTTTTTATCACTAAATTGATCACAGCTGTAAAAGATGTTTTACCTTCAAGGTTAATTGTTTAAGAAGATTTACACGTCACTTCTGAAGTGATTACTGTTTCGCAGAATATTAACACATCATTATGTAATACCCTATCATATTTTTACACTGTATAATAATGTTTATAATATTTTAACTTCTAAGGTAAAATAGTCAGCAACAAAAAATGTCACACTTACTTTCAGCAGTCCGATGAAGCACTTTTAATAGTTCATATTTACCCTTGAACTTGCATTGTTTGCTGCCTAGCTTTGCCCGTTTATATCAATTCAAATGTATTTGTCCTATCATGTTTCTGTAGAATATAATGTTAAGTGTGTCAACTGGGAAAGAAGCGCATCATTTTTTTCTGAATTGTTTTGCAAAATGAAGGATGCTGGCAATCATTTTCGCAGTCATCAGATTGTTCAGGAAAATACGTCTTTTTTTTTTTTTTTGGAAGAAACACTTTTGACAAGCCACATCATTCTCTCATTTGCCTCCTGCTTCATGTCACAACTATTGCAACAACCTCACATCCGAACAGACAAGCAGGCCCGCCTTCCTGCACCCTGACACAGGAGCTGTTCTTCAGCACCCTCACACAGCTGATCCACGAGTAAAGCAGGAAGTGTAAAACACGGGGCTTTAAAAAAAAACACACTTCCACATTCATCTTGCCACTTTACGCAGAGTTTACTTCGATAGGCTTTTTCTATGACGACGCGTTATTTCCAAATACCTAATGAGTAGTTACGCACATTGCGCGTTAAGCCAGCAGCCAGGGAGTTGTGTGTTGTGTTTACTGACCTTTCGGAGAGTTTCGGAGGCGGTGGAACCCCTGCTGTTGTCCAAGGTGCAGCGTCTGTAAACCCGACACATTATTACCCATACCAAGAGGAATTTCAATCTGATGTTTATAAGACTGATGACTGCTGCTGTCTGTTTCCCGCTGACACAGTTTCCTCCGGAGTGAAGGGATGAACACTTTTCCTCTTTGGCCAAACGCACGAGGCGGTGTGTAGATTTGTGTGTGTGTATGTGTGTGTGTGTGTGTGTGTGTGTTTTAATGACGTCTTCCAGTCATCAGCGCGAGCCAAGCGAAAGAGGCAACAGGCACACAGGTGTGCCAAGTCAGAGGGGGGCTGAGTCCTCTAGATGAAGCTCTCCAGCGGAATTTTACGTAGTAAGAGAAATAATACCACAGAAAAGCTGTTAGTTTTGGTATGACTTTGCTTTTGTTATAGCCTAACAAGTTTAACATCTAGAGTTGTCTGTTGTGTAATACTTCTTTTTATCTATTTAATAACATTTTGAAAGTTGTTTAAGAAACATACAAAAATTGAGAAATACTTAATATATTGAGCAGGTGTGTAGTTCAAAGTGTGATCATACACCTTGAAGTGTAACTGGTTCTTAAAATCTAAATTCAAAGTAGCTTATCAAACGTGTAAAAACACACATGTCAGCACTAATCAGAGCTTTATCATGGTTCATGAATTGTGTGAAGCTGCCATCTAGTGTAAATCAACAATAAACAACAAAACAAAAGAAGCCCATGGTGGTTAAGATTTGCTTTTCATCTGCAGTGCTTTCTCACCAAAAAGCAGCTTTACATCTTCGAGTTCTTCCATAAAGTGCTATAGAGTCTCTTATCAACCGATAAAAAGGAAACAACCTTGTTGAAACTCAGAATGACAGTCACTAGGAATGACTCATTAGAAGAACATGTGCTTTTCTCCACTGCCTACCTTCAACAACACTGAAAGTATTTTCTTTTTAACTGATTTTTTTGTTTTCTTTTTACCATCTAAATTCAATTCTTACGACCTTCTTCAACCTTTGTCCTCAACAATGAGGCATTTAAATGTGTGACATTTATGACAAAGGATAACGTTGTTTAAACCTTGTGCATTGAATTAAAGTGTTCTAATAAACACAATACTCAAAGAAATAATGACTGTACTGTTCCTTTCATATTTAAATAGAACATATTGTATTTTTAACTAGCTTTGTTTGTTAGTAACTTCTGAAATAATACAATTTGAGAAGTAAATCACAAGCCAAAGATTGGTTTAGGTTTTTTGTTTTCATATACTTTAATTCTAGGGATGGTTTGGATCAATTCAAACCTTGACAATGATACATTGTTGTCTCATTTCAGCATAAACATACGAGTTAGGAGTTTAGATATTTGCTTGACTCAGAGAAAGGAAATGATATTAAAGCATGTTGTGTGTTTTTACAGCGTGCTACATTGGGGTTATTGCTATTCAAAGCGGGACAATGGGAGAGGAAGAAAATCCCTGCCATACAAACATATTTATACTGAAAGATGAATAATAGTGCCCATCTTTCAGCAGTTATGGAATCAGACCAAAAACACAAGAACACTTTGACGAATACATTTCTTCTCAGCTTGGTGTCAGGTAAAGAGAAAAGAGGGAAACATTATGATAAACATTCCATGTGATCCTGCTGGTATGCACATCACATGTGTGGGGCCTGTATTAATATCAGACATGTTCATGGACACTAGGCACCCCTCCAGTCTCATATATAGTTTTTGATATTTTATTTTATTATCTTGTTCAATCATACTGTTAGATATTCCTGTACAAAGGCACCGTGATATTTTAGTTGGTACATTTGTTGGTCAAATTGAAGAAGTATCACACAGGCACTTTTGGGGCAGCTCTGGGCAGCACAGGGGTCTTTGATGCCATGCGTAGCTCAGTCGACCCAGATGTCCGAGAGTGTGCAGCCACGCTGAGTTGATGTGTTTGTGTCTCTGTGTTTCAGACAGAAGTAAAAGAATAATCATAAAAACCCATGCACGCTTGGTTCTTTGTGTACAAGTATGCAACACATGTCATTTTACTGCGATGTAACAACAGGACAGGCAGCCAGCCCTCTTATACTGTCCGGCAATTTCATGCGGTACATGTGCTTCAGTTCAGGCTTCATACTCTTTAAACACTCTGTCAGTGACATTTCTAAAGGAGGCAGAAACCTGGAGAAGACAAGTTGACTCCTTGTGGAATAAATCTCAGCTCATGACCTGCTTATTATTCTCCTTCCCATTTATAACGAGAGCTAAGAAAATCTTGGAAAACGATCAGTGTGAGGTTAGATATGGTGAGTCTTCAGCATCTTCAATTCTTCTCTAGGAATGTCTCAGAGAAAAGTTTGTTCAATATATCAGTGTGATTTCTTTTTTTGATCATGGATCCCCTCACTCTTAATGATTGAATGCTGGTGATTTTTTCAAAATTGACGATCCTGTGAAGTTTGAATAGTGAAGAAGAAGAAGAAACACCTGTTGACATCTGCACTGCATTTTCCTTGTAAAACATTGTTGGACTGATAATGGACATTTTTTCAAAATTAAACATTTTGTTTAATGCTTAGGTTCTTGAACCTTGTCTTCACCTAACTTCATTGCCCGCCATGCAACCTCTTCTATTGCCCTGTTTTATGCTAGTAGGGGCAAAACCATTCTCAAGTCACTTGCCAATAACATCGAGCTGGCTGCAGAGGTCTTGCTAAGGTCACCTTTTACCATGCCCTCCTCAAAAAACTTTTCAATTAGCAAACAACTGTTGCATTTTTTTACCTAATACCTACCATCACTTAGATGTCAGATTTTTTTTCAGCACCCTGTGCTGAGAAAGGAAGATGTATATTTAGAGCTGTGGCTCAGTTGGTAGAGTCATTGTCTCTCAACAGGAAGGCTGAGGGTTCAATCCCCAGCTCCTGCAGCAACATGTCCAATGTTTCCTTGGGCAAGACTCTTTACCACCGAATTGCTCCCGCTGCTTGGTTTGGCGGTGTTTGAATGCATATAAATGGGATTAGTTACTTCTGTTGGTCTGACTACATATAGCATCTCTGCCATCAGTGTGTGAATGTGTAGGTGTGACATGTGGTGTAAAAGTGCTTTGAGGAGTCAGAAGACTAGAAAATAACTATACAAGCTCAAGTCCATTTACCATCTATAAACTCATCATCGTTGGCCTATATCAGTGTCCCTCATCCCTACTCTGTAACTCTCTGGAAAATTATCACACTTATTGGCGTGATCAAGTCACAGGTAGGAAAAGCATTTACTTGAACAAATACATGCCTGCTAGCTTCTAAAACTAGCCATGCTAACATTAAAGACTTGATCACCACAGATTACACAAACCGATGCACAGAGGGGAAGCTAAGGTTAGAAGCTTCTTCTGTTTTCTTGTATATTTCCACATAGGTAATAATATAAACAGGAATCAAGTTATATGCATTTAAACTGTGACCCTGCATGAAACCCAATCTTTGCAAAAAAAAAACTTCAAGTATTTAACTAAAAGTCTGAAAGGGTGTCAGACTGAGGTCTAAAAAGTTTGCATTGCTCCTACCTTTATCTATTTTTTATTTTTCAAATTTGTAGTCTTTGAACTCCTAACAATTCAGACTTGGGTGACATCACTGGAGGACATGAATCTGATTTCACACAGTTCTTCTGTCTTGAGACACTTGAGACTTTCTCAAACTTCTCTTAAATAGCAGTAGACTTGAAACTTTTTCTCGTGTTAAGTCACTGGAGCTCCTCTTAAATCATCTCATCCTGGCAGAAAAAAGATAAAAATCCTGAAGAGCGGTTGAGTGGAGAGTTACATTTTTAGAAGAATATGATCAAGTGTTGGAAAATGTAGCCTTTTTTTAAACTCTTGGCTGTAGGACTTGAATCAGCATTGGCATAAGCTTGAACTCAGATTCATGTACACACCAGATATCAGACATGACAAAATGAGATTTCCTGCTTATAGGTTGGCATCCACACCACCTTTTACTTCACTTTCACTAGGGTATGACATTATTTTAACATCAGTCAAAAATCAGTAAGGGAAATGTTACTTTATGAGTTACTGCTGAAACACCAACCGATAAAAAAGAGTAAGGAAAGAGAGGTACAAAGCCCCAGCAAGAATCATTCCTTCTGACCAACATGTAACTTCAAAAATGCAGCACATCGGCTCTAGGCCTCTTTTTCATCTGTTTCTTCAAACTCTTTGGAGTTTTCAAGCCCAGCTCCTACATGACCTCCCAGGTCCTTCAGATCTCCAGAGAAATGATGGGGGAAGTTGGAGTTGGTAAAGGAGGTGAAGCAGCTGCACAGCCAGCAGTGAGGCATGGACAGTCACCATCAAAGAAGAACAAGAGACCAGAGCAACTACTGATACAACATAAAGGTGAATAAACAAGACACAAGAGAGGTCAGAAAGTTACAAGCAGCCCTCCACACAAACAAATATACTCAGACACAGGATCCCTGAGGAACAGTGATGGTCTCTTACTATGAATGGAAGCACTCTATTGTAAGATAAAGAGTCTGAACAAATTACTCAGGGCCCTTTTCAACTCATCAGGCACATTTTGTAAAATGAAGTTTTATGGTCTGTCAGCCCAATATGACTTTTGACATTCTAGCTTTTTTGCTATTCAAATAAAAAATGAAGTTCAAAGACCTTAACAATTAATTTAAGAGGGAGCATGCTTTATCCTAAGACCCTCAATTTGTTCAGGAATTGTTACTCACTGTCTCTGTTGTACAAGTTGTACTCTGTTGTCTCTGTCATTCTCTTCACTTGAGAAGCTATGTGTATATCATTACCTTTGTTTTAACTGTAATTTATAAATTTGCACCACTGCACTTGGCGTCATTTTGTCTTCTCACAAGTCCTGTGTGGAACAATTTTAATTGGGGAGAGGAATTTAATTTTGTTTACCATGCTTTTTGCCATGCCATGTTTTTTTTTCTCGATCCTATTTCTTTAAACAAGATGGAGTTCTTTTGTCAAATCAGTACTGACATTTTATTTGCAGGATTTTATCTAAAGTTCACTCTGGCAAATTTCATGTGAGGCAATATGTGCAAATGTATTCTTTATCGTCCACGCTGCAGTTCTTGTTTGACTTTCATAAGCAAATCAAGTTCATTATGTAACTGTGTTTGGAAAAATTAATTCTAACAAGAATGATGTGGATCAAGTCGAAAAAGTCATCCCCAGACAACTTTAAGACGACTCCATGGAT